TGCTTAATAAACACTAACAGAAAACAAATCCCAGTTCGGATCCTTTCTTAATGTAGTTTCCTACCACATATTGTGGGTAACAAACTGAACTTCTTGACATTTGGGATTCTATTGCTAGTGACTTGGTCTTGCTATATAATGATCTAGAACAAGAATCACCAACCACATCTTGTACTTTTTTGTAAATAAAGTTTTATCAACACATAGCATATTCATTTGTTTATATATTGTCTGTGACAACTTTTCATCTGTAATGGTGAAGCTGAGTCATGTTAATGGACACAATATGGTACACACAGTCTAACATAGTAAGTATATAGCTTATCATAGATAAAGTTTGTTAATATCTGGCCCAGAAGCTATATTTGATGGGGAAGTATATTTGATGGTGAGTGCAGTCTCCTGGAGTCATGGGAACTTGTCACTTGTCACAAATGGGCAACTTTCAACTTCTGTAACAAACCTCATGGCAAAATGATGAGATGTCACTTCAGTGGCTAGATTACAAAAGACTGTGGTTTTTGTGCTGCTATTACTGTCTTCTTGATCTATCCATTTTGGTGAAACAAGCTGCTATGTTGGAGAGGTCCATACTGAGGACCACTTCTGGCTAGTTGATAGCAATGAGCTGAACCCTGCCAATAACTACATCTTTGAGCTTGGGGGGCAGACCCTTGCCCAGTCAAACCTTAAGACGACTACAACCATAGATGATACACTTTGAATGCCTGAGAGACGCCCTGGAGCAGAGGACATAGAGAAGGTGTACCATAAACCTGTCCTACAGATAATGTGTGCTGGTAAGGGGTATTTGAAGCCACTAAGTTTGGGAATATATGTTATGCATCAACTGGTAACTAATACAAACCTTAAACCCATATTAAAGAACTTGACACACATTTCATGACTAATTTCCAGTACAAAGACAGGTATTACCACACACATATATGAAAACAGCCTGGCCAGTGCCTGACCCTCTTTCCAGATATGAAATAGCCTCAATATCAGGGGCTCGTTTCCCACTAGGATAGTATATTCTAAGCCTTTCCATGTCAGGTTACAGAAAGAAAATGACAAGACATGTCAGAGACGCACTGCGTGGAGGGCAGTTGATTCTGGGGGTTGTAGCCACCTCAAGCTACCTTGAGCCAAAGGTATCAATAACTAAGCATCCTTGTAACATTTGGTTTAAACTGCCAATCTCTGTCTATTGGTAGTTGCTGTCATGGGCATGTGATGTATGCGTGCCAACTCTCAAATGTGGATGAGTGATATGGAGCCTTCGAGGCCACAGTCCTTCCAGAAAGTTCTCTGTCTGCTTAGGACAGTCAAGAGTTGTCACCTATTTGCTTCTGAGAAATGCAGCAGATGCAGATAAACAGCAATATTACAGCACTACGTGATAAAGACTGAAAATCTAGGTCCAGGAAGAGTGTGAGCAGGTTCATGGTTAATGGATTTTTACCAGTTCTCTGTATACACTTATAATATTCTGCAGTAAAAATTTATTTTTAATTGTACATTTTAATTGTCCATTACAGAAACATTTTATGATGTTCTTTCATGTCGTTTTGGTAATGATTTGGACAATGTTATAATTACTATACAGCCTCTTTTCATTTTGTACATCACAGTCATTTTTCCATGTCGGTAAAACCACATTTTTAAAAGGCCATAAAATATTTTTCAGCCTGTGCCTGAGCAAACAGCCTCTAGGGAGTGGATCTAAAACTGGGCCTGAGATCCACAGACTATTTTGAAAGGAGGGGTTGCCTTCATCTAATTGCTTGGCTCTCTTTTGGCAAGTCTATTGCCAGAAGGGGGGCTTTTAGAAAAATATTGCTCCAATATGCAGTATGTGCTCTATAACCCTAACCTCAGTAAGTAGACTATGGGATAATTTTTAAAACTAGTCTCTTCATGTTGGGCATTTAATTTGTTTTCATATATTCACCTACCATTAATGTGTCCACATTTCAATTTTGTTGCTTAGTTTGCACCAGAATTTTATTTGTGTGTGCATGTGTGGGTGGGTGCGTAGAGACTGGAGTCAATTTCGGGTGTTTTTCCTCATGTTCACCTTGTGTTTTGAGACAGGCTCTTTCTTTGGCTTGGAACTCACTTAGTAGGTTAAGTTGATGGACCAGCAAACCCCAGGGATCCTAAGAGACTGGAGTCAATTTCAGGTGTTTTTCCTCATGAACTGTTCACCTTGTGTTTTGAGACAGGCTCTTTCTTTGGCCTGGAACTCACTTAGTAGGTTAAGTTGATGGACCAGCAAACCCCAGGGATCCTCCTATCTCAGCACTGGGATTGCAACTGTATACCACCACATTCCATTTTTTAAATATGGGTGCTGGGGGATCAAACTCAGTCCTTATGCTTGTGTGCCAAGCACATTGCCCACTAAGCCATCCCTTCAACCTGGTTTTTAACTTTTTCAATACAGAAGTTGAAGGGTATGGATACCATAGGGCCTATAAATATCACCAAATTGACATCATCAATGTTCTCTCCCTCCCTTGGAATGAGAAAGTGTTGTTTGACAATGTCCTCTCCCACAATCGAAATCATTAATGTGTTGAGGCTGTTGGAGGACAACCAGTCCCTCCAAGAGGCTTCCAACAAAACTTCAGAGAATTCTGTTCCCTTAACAGTTCCTAAGATATGCAAAATGTTCTAAGTGCTGACAGAAAAATAGCATATTTCCATAACTAAACTCTTGATGACTATACTATTTCAAGAAAGTTGTTGAGGCTTGGAACCCACATATTTTACCTTGGCTACTGACAGGGAGAGCGTCCATTGAATTCATTGTTATCCTAATATAAAAGTTTTAGAATGAAATAACATCATACGATAGAAAGCGCAGTGCAGTGACTTGAAAAAACACATTGGACAACAGGTTAGAATTATAGGATAGTTTTTATTAAAGAACCGGGGGGGGGGGGGCGG